TCTCTCTCTCTCTCTCTCTCTCTCTCTCTCTCTCTCTCTCTCTCTCTCTCTCTCTCAGCCATCTGAGCATGCACACTGAAACTTTCTCAAAACATTATTCCTCCAACCCGGGCGGTTCTGGACCTCAGGGTCAGTCTGGGATCTGCTCCCTCTGCGGGGAGGGAGGAGACAGCGGGGAGCAGAGGGTGGACCACTGATCCTCAGCGCCTCTCCACGTTTCTCTAACTCTTCRTTTCAACTCGAACTGGACCGATGCTGACTCGGATGGACTAGAGAAAAGAGAATCCTGCAGAACTGTGCGCTTCTGTCTTGATGCGCCAAACGCGCGTCTTGTGCGTCAAATGGATTCCCAAGCGCAAACTGTCGCAGGTTGATCATCAGAGCTCATCCTTCTTTTCCCCGCAACACCATTAAATTGTGGACCATGTGCCCCCGTCGGACTGAGATGGACAATGAGGTTATGGGATAGCCTCACCACTTGTTTGGTTCTGCTCAGCGCAGTGCGGGTCAGCGCGCTGCCGCGGAGCCAAAGAACAGGAGCCCCCGCTGAGGAGAACCCCCTGGAGATCCCGGCGGTCCAGAACCCCCTGGCTGCTGTCTCCCGCAGAATCAAGCAGGAGGACTCAGCGGAGGGCAGACTGGAGAGGGGCCTTAAATGTAAGTTTTGTTTTTTTATTGATTAAGAGGAAAAGCCTTTTAACTTCCTGAACTTCTTGAATCACTTTTGCTTCGTTCTTTAAAACATGGCTATTCATCAGTTAAGGACCTTTTAAAAAAGTGAACAAATATGGTTCTCATAACTCATTTTAAATGTAAAGTTTCGTTTAAACTGTCACAATTAAAATGTACAAAATGTGCTTCTCCTTAAAAGGTTTTCRGTGGAAGAAACTGTTTGCATCTGTGTGAAATTAAAGGATAAGAATTAAGTAAATGTATGTTGTCCACTATATCTTAAATTTGAATTATTGTACATTGAGTTTATCTGTAGCCTGTCAAGACTTGGAACATGTTTTGAGGATGACTCTCAGCTACTACAGCATTCATATTTACTGAGTTATAGCCATTTTAATTGGACTGTTTCAAAGTTGTTACGTTTAATTATGATTCTTTAAGTGGTTCATGGGACATTTTCCTAACAAAGCCAGTTGACACAAGTGTGGCAAAGTTTTCAAATCTATCTGGTGCAGTCAGTTAGTGCTCGCAGTATTTGTTGTGAATGAGAGCTGCTTCCAAACTCAATTTTAGCTCAATAGTTGTAAAATTGGCTGTAGCCATTTTTGTATTGRTCAAGGTTGCTCAGCTGTGGCAGACATCTTTGCTTAGACTCCAAATGTCAATCACGTACATCAAATAATTGTTTGCTGACAGTTTTACCAAAATCCATTCTCTGGTTTATCATTCTCTGGTTAACATTAACAAACACATTACAGCAGTTACAGTTGAAAACCTACACAAACGCATAAATTCACACAAAAAGACCAACACATCTAGGTTCTTCTTGCTATGAGGTCACAGCACCCCTGTGTCACCTTCCAACCTTCTTCATTAGTGCTCCTACCATGTAACACTGTTTTTTTGTTTGTTTTTGTTTTTGTTTTCTAAGTCTTTTAATTTAGCCAAACAGCTCCTAAACCAGGGGTCCAGATCCGGACTGGAATGGTGTCTCATGCGGACCCGTACATAATGCCAAAACAGAGATCACCACTTAAAACTGAAATGGGCTCATAATGCTGCATTCAGACCTAACAAGATTTGAGTGTCAGGGGCATCGGGTTTACATGTAAAATCTATGGTGTATTCAAGTCAAGGGGTATTGAGAAGTGTTGCTGTGYGTTTTGAAGTGTTTTGAGACAGAGGAAAGGATGGAGAAGGGAAGAAAAACAGGAAAAGAGAAGGAAATATACAGGCGGGTGAGAAAGGACGGAGAAAACTGATAGTTGAGATGGAGAAGGGGAGAGAAACTGAAGAGTTAGCAGACACAAATACAAATAAATAAATAAATAAATAAATAAATAAATAAATAAATAAATAAATAAATAAATAAATAAATAAATAAATAAATAAATAGTTGCATCAAAAATTTTTAAAATGGACAGCGAAAATTGAGCGTTTTTTTCCAGGATGGACAGAGTCATTTTTCTTTATACTTCCCACTGGAACGAAACCGGTGAGTCTCACATGTTCAGAAATGTGACCCTTATTAAAAGTTAATGCCATTATGAAACAAAGTATAGAAGTTTTGGACAAAGTTTTGAACAAATGTACCAAATCAACATGCACAGTTGTCATGTAATGTTTAGTTTCTTATTTTGACATGTTCATCATACTTTTACTCAGTAAGAGAACATAAAACATCAGACTTTAGAATTTCACGTTCATCTTTTTGTTACGTGACAATAAATATTGAAAAACTATTTCAATTAGACTGAATTTGTTTAATTTTATATGCAAATCAATTTGTGCAGATGTTGATACAACTACTACTTAAATATATAAAACTCTAAATAGTAAGACATTATGATCTTATGGACATTGGTTTTAAGAAATTTTCTCTGACTGGACCTGTTTGAATTTTAATTGAATACCCCTGTCCTAAACTATCCATTTGATTTATTTTACCCATGTAGAGCTGCTTGAGCTGGTGCCTATCTACAGCTGTCACTGGGCAAAAAGTGAGGTACACCCTTCCATCAATCCATCATGAGACATGCAACATTCACACTCACATCAAGTGACAATTTAGAGTTACAGTTAACATAAAATGTAAGTTTTAGTCAGTGAAAGGAAACCACAGTACTCAGAGAAAACCTATAAGTACACAAAAAACTATAAAATTGTACCAAGAGAACAAGTCAATTCCACAGAGACAGGCTCCAACCTGGTTGTGAAACTGCAACCKCCTTGCTATAAGGTAACATCCCAGCCCACAGTTTGAAGACAACTAAATTTATGATGGCCACCAAAGCTAAACTTAACCAACATAAAAATGGCACCAAAAATATAGTCAAATTTAGCAAAGCTAGACCTTTTCTCTAATATTATTTGGCTAATGGCATAGTATGTCTATTTGTATCCTTAATGCACATTTCCAAAATACTGTGCAAGTGTCCACTGAAATGATATAACTTGTGAGATGAATGGTTGAAAGTTTTTCTATCTTCCTTTAAAGGTTTTCTATAACCAAAGTAAAGTGGAACAAAGTGTGAGAATGTTATTTTTCTTAATGTGTTTCAGACACTATAAGGGAGCCCCTCCCAGATGAAGATGCAGTTGAATTCATCAATGCAATGATCAGTCGAGTGCGTCGCTCATCCTCATCCACAGAGCCTTCATCTACCTCCTCCTCTTCTTCCTCCCTCAGAGAAAACTTGAACATCAGGACTCGGCAAAGAAGGGAGAGGAGGAGGAAGAAGAAGAAGACGAAGAGCGGCCAGCGGAAAAGAGGAGAACTTAAAGGAGAGGAAATGAGCGTGAAGATGAGACGAGGCAGCGGCGGTGGGAGAGGACAGGGCTGTGCCCTCAAACAGATTCACCTGAACGTGTCGGACCTCGGCCTCGGCTACCGCTCGGGTGAGGAAATGATATTCAGATACTGTTCGGGGCCCTGCAGGAAGTCTGAGACCAACTATGACAAAATTCTTTTTAACCTTGTTCAGAAAAGGAAGCTTCCTCATAAAGACACGCCCCTGCAGGCCTGCTGTCGGCCTATCGCRTTTGACGATGATCTCTCATTTCTGGACGACAGCCTCATTTACCACACCGTGAGGAAGCACTCTGCCAGGAAATGTGGCTGTGTGTAACAGGATTTAATTTTCAAGCAATTTGACTGTAACTGTTTTAAGTCCACCTGCAAAGGGGTAATTAGGATTTTACCCTAAAATCCTAAACTTGATTTTCCCAAAGATATTTATAACAAAAGCATGGAACTTGCCTAAAACCATACATGACTGTTAACCCTAACAGTTTATTGTGTCTGCTAAGCACATCTTATGGGAAAAATTTAGACAAATATGAAATTTATTTATAAAATGCTCAATATTGTAACTTATTCATATTTATTTTGTTTTTATAAAAATAAAAGTTATTTATTGCTGTGATAACTCAGAGTCTGACAATTGTTTCAATCAAATTTCCCCCCMAAAAGCACTTAGTACTATGATCTACGTTAGCATGACAGACTCACGTGGGCATTCATTGTTTCATACCACAATACATTGTCAATCAGCTTGATAAGTTTTGAGAAGTGATTATGTTTGATTAAACTTCCTGAAATGAGGATGACATCATCATTTGGCATACATTTGAGTTTCTCATGTCAATAAATTTGAGATCAACTAATAAAATAGCTGTGCTCTGTCGCAGGTAATAGCCAAAAACTTAATGACTCATCAAAAAAGTGTTTCAACCAGAATGATTATAGCCATTCAAAGACCTACCTATGACAGGTAGGATAATTATTGTTCACATAAACCCATTCTCAACCAGCTGAACTATTGCGTTAAATAAACTTGCTCATAGGCCAAAGATTTATCTGATAATGAATATGTGAGTAGAGAACTTTTCAGAGAAATCAAACACAAACTCTGATGTTACTGAATGACAGGAAGAATCGTTCAACACAGAGATCCACACAGAAAGTGTTATATAGAACATAAAGAAGGTGAGACTAATTGTGAACGGTTAAAAAGGATGAAAGGCGAGAGATGAAACGTCATACAGCCCAAAGAAAACAACACCCATGAATGAGCGATGAAGTTAAAAGCTGATGTTGGAGAAAAGGGTGTGCAAAGAAAATACAAAAAGATTAAAAGGAGGCAAAAAAAAAACCCTCTAAAGCAGACAAAGAAGACAAAGATGTCAGAACAGGAGACTACATCTTACTTAACTAATGTGTGTGGTCGAAATCTGACCCTCTGATGTTGGCTCACGTTTCACTCTGCTGTCTCTTTGACTCACGTCAACCTCCTTTAACAACTGCAGGGAAAGAGTTAACTAGTACTTTTCCATCTGTTCACTTAACTTTTCTACTGTAAAAAATTATTCTTTGAGAAAATAAAAATAATCATAAACATGACACAAAAAGGAAGAAAATTTGTGTTTGGTAGACTATTTCTTTGTTGTAACAATGCTTCTTGGTAATAAATCTTATGCTGTTGGAAAGCTTGTTAATGTCTCTTTTAAGTGGTAACACATTTGTAAGGAACATGYTTTTGTGGGATGAGCAGAAGAGCTCAGTATGTGGGTTGTAAACGTGAAAAATTTGCCAAAACATCTGTACCATTTCAAAACAGCTTATTTTACTGTTGCTATTCACACTTGTTTTGAGTCTCTGGTACCCCCAGGTGCTGTCAATCATGTGCTCATTGATTTGATTCGATTTATTGATTTAACAGGAAAAGATTACTAAAAATCAAGCCTGACTCAGCATAATTGCTGTTTTACAGCAGGTTCATGTTCTGCAGCACATAAAACACTCAGAATTACAGCATCACAATCACATCATTATACACCATAGACACAAAGACAAACAAGCATACCAAATTTCAGGAAGGCAGCATTTGCAAAATAGGACGTCTAAATATGAGCACAACAAAAAGTGTCCAGCAGATGGCAGACAAGATTCTTCTTAAAGGGCTGTAGTTTTGAAATGGACTTTATGTTTTGAGGAATGTCATTCCATGCTTTAGTATAAACATAGAAGAAAGACCTTTATAATAATAACCATTATAAGAGTTATTACCAAGAAGCATTGTTGCAACAAAGAAATACTCTAATAAACATTAATTTCCTCACTTTGTGTGCTAAGTGAGGAAGAYTACACTGCTGGTAATTCTTCTGATAAGTGATGGAGTGTGTTCAATTACATGTCATTTCAGTGTAAAAGATTGAAGCACATCATCTAAATCATATACTTATACATGAATGTGTTTAAAAAATAAATTTTATCAAAATGAGTCCAAGTTGAAACTTTGCTCAACCTCTTTTTCTGAGAACTTGAAGATGCTCTGAAAATGTGGTCTTTTTTTCCCACAGCCGCTGTTCACATAGGAACTTCACAGCGAGCGATTATCTACAGGAAATGTGCTGTAATAGCGTGAAGTACGAGGGCACGGCAATACATGATGCAAAACGTATGGCGTGGAAATAGCTGTACCACATGTATGTGAAAGTATCAACAGTGTCAGGGAGTGAGTGGACGGCAAGAAGGTGTCAGAAGCAGCAGTGACTCCTTCAGCAGCGTCTCACCAGCTGTTTCGCAACAAGATGTTGAGCTGATCTCCGGAACATCTGTGGACTGTAGCGCACGAGTGAAAACAGCTCAAACTTAGTTGCTTTAGGTTAGAAATCGAGAGTCAACCGCTCAGAAAGGAATATATAACAGCTGCTTTGTGCAGTTCAAAACACTTGACGAATATGGACTTTATTTGAAACTTTGAGCAGATTAGGATGTAATCCTGAGTGGAGAACTAACTGTTGGTGGGTTTATTTTAGAACGTGTAAATCACAAGAGCGTCAGCTCTGTGACGTGGACAACAGAGGAAGCCATTAGAGCCGAATGTGTCAAAAGACAGTGTTGTTTTCTGTCCCTCTGTTCATCGTGACAGAGGAGCTTGTAATGAAGGATAATGTTCCTCTGAGGTGTAATTCAACACAAGTGATTGTGGTTTCTGTGATGGTTTTTAAACAGGTGCTTAAACACTGGGGGAAGCTGTATATGTCGACACATTGACATTATATTAGGAATTCATTCAAAGAACTGCTGTCTTTTTACTTTGCCATCTTTCACTGGGAATATTAAAAATAAAAACCCAAATAGATTTGTCAATGAATTTGTTTCTATGTTGGATTTGCAAACAACCTGAGTCTGTCTGTTGTTGAAGCTATGTGAAATAACAGTTGCAGAAACATCTGAACATCTTTTTTTCTTTAAAGGGATCCCCGATTAATTGTAACATTAGACTTTATTTGAAAAACATTTATTTTAACTGTAAAATAAAGACTGTAAAAATACTGTAGGCTGTTTAGTTTTGTAAATTTTTAAAAATACATTTTAACACAGACGGGGCCATTTTATTTACACGCAAAACATTCTGGGTAAATGATGATGTTGATAGGTCCTCAGTGTGAGTGAGCTATATCCACCCTGAAGGTTAATCTTGGACAATATCTGACGATTGACTCTTAAATGAAACCAGAGAGCGTTGACAGAGAGGAGAAGGTAAAAATGACTCAGCCTGTAACTGAAAATATRGATGGAGGACAACAGAGCTGCTTCATGGAAGAAGAACCTCAGCTTAGCCTGTTAGCTTTAGCATTAGCTCCGATGCTATATTGCCTTTTATGTATTAGCTCAGCGTTAGCACAACAAACAAGCTAAACTGAGCTCTCTGGTTTCATTTTTAAAAAGCCAATCGTGAGATAATGTCCAAAATTAACCTTTAGGGTAGATATAGCTCACTAGCAGCMTCTCACSGAKGACCTAGTTGACATCATCATTTACCCAGAATGCTTCGCATGTAAATAAAATGGCCCCATCCGTGTAATAAATTTTTAAACTTTTGGTTTAAAAATGATAAAAACTAAACAGCCTACAGTATTTTTACAGTCTTTATTTTACAGTTAAAATAAACATTTATCAAATAAATTCTAATGTTACAACTAATGGTGGATCCCTTTAAAAAAAGTCACTGATGATGAAGAAACTAAGAAACTGTATTCAGTTCTGCTTTCTACTGAAGTGGCTACAAAAAAAAAACATCTGAAGAAGGTGAAAAATTGCATCAAAGAGTTTAATACAAGCACAATATAAACACATACTTCGCCTGTTTTTTTTTTAGATCAAAAGAAGCTCCAAGATCTAACATCTGAGCTGATGAAAGTTGCACTCTGACTGAAACTTCAGACAGCATAAAAACAAGTTGGCCTCACTGTTGTAATGAAAAAGATAAGGGCATTGTATTTTTCTTATTGACCCCAAGAAATAGGCTTGACATTTTACAAGTGTTCATTATGGTTAAAAAACAAACATTTTCTGCGACATAAAGGAGAGCCAGAGGGGATTAACACAACCCTGTAACTGATCATCAACTGGTACCATTGACATGCCTGTTACCACGCAATAACTCAAGTTGTTATACTAATAATATGACTATAGATGAGGTATGATTTATACATAAGACATCAAGCACAACAGATCTACATCAGTCAGGGTTTTAAATAAAATAAGCATAATTGTAATATTTTGAAGCCAACTTGTTGCATGAGCAGTGAGTGTGACACTATCAGCTCCATGTGTGAGAAGTGACAGATATTAAAATATTCATGTGAAACAAGAGAATGTGCTTCAGCTTCATTGTGGTGGCTCAGCATCACACCTGCCCTGGAGCATTCTGTTTGGGATTTTCAGACAAGAAGAAATTTATTTGCATGAAAAAGGCAGTTCTTGTCTTACCTTTAGGGAAAATGGTCCTTTATATTTGATGAAAGGCAAAATGAAATGTTGGACAACAGATTATAATTAAAAACTCTGGAGGCCCTGAGACACAAAACAACAAAATCAACTTACTTTTTTTTTTTTAGAAATAAATGCCTAATTATTAAAAATACACACACAACATTTTATAAAACAATTTAAAAAACAAAGATTTGAAAATTACATTGTTTTAATTTCCTGTTTACTTTGTTTTACCTTTGTCTGTTCTTTTCAACATTGAGTTTTTTTATCATTAACACTTATTTTGAAGTTTGCAGTGGTCTGTTGCAATTTCTTTGTGACTTTTCAAAAACTTACTCCTAGACAAATGTAAAATCATTTTTGTATTTGGGCTTATTTAGGATCAAAACTTAAGAAATTCACCACCTCTGACACAACTGAACACTAGTGTCCTACGAGTCAAATAACATTCATAGCATAATGTAACTGTTCTGTTTTTTTTTTTTTTCACTTGTCAGCTTCATGTCAACACACTGTAGCAGTTCCGTCTGAGGTTGTAAAGGTTAAAACATACGTGGCAAACATCAACAATATGCC